ATAGATGAAGCAGATGCCATGACATCTTCGGCGCAACTCGTTATCACTGTTCAACTAAGGGAACCTCTGACTGTCCAAACATATCTCCCAAGAGTTGTAGTGACCGCTCTAGTTGCTAAGAAGCCCGAGTATGACACCAAAGCAGTCCTTTGGGACTATCGAGCAAGTGCCAATGGTAAGATGATCGACACTGCCGTGGCTCAAGGGATGACTAGGTCGGGGAGGTGTTATGCCCCAGAGGACCTAAATCAAAGAGTTCTCGGAAAAGAACAAAATCCAAACAAGAATATTACTGATGCTGAAGCCACAGAGTTTTGGAAGAAGATGCAGTCTAAAGACTATTCGGTTGAAGAACAGCTGAAGAAAACGCCAGCCTACATATCCATTTGGTCTTTGCTTATGAGTTCAGAAGCTCATAGGAATGCTTTGATGGAGGTGTTAAGGGGAGTGATCATTCCAAAAGAGACCACAAGTGAGACCTTAACTGCAACGATTGGAAGAATAGTGGAAGCTAACAAGATATCTTGCCACGATGATGAGTTGCCTGCAGAAGGGGCTGGCCATAACAAAGCGCTTCACATTGCAGTCAAATGTTGTGATAAAATTGTGACTCGAGTCTTAATTGATGGTGGTTCTGGATGCAACATCTGTCCTTTCACAACTTTGAGGGATTTAGGCGTTAATTGGTAGAGATAAAGGAAGGTCGTGTGAAAGTCAGAGCTTTTGATGGAGCGCAAAGAAGTGTCATCGGAGAGATACATCTCACATTGCAGGTAGGGCCGGCTGAATTCCCCATTCTATTTCAAGTGATGGATGTATCGTCCAACTACAACCTGTTGTTGGGAAGACCATGGGTTCACATGGCAAAAACAGTACCTTCCACTCTTCATCAATGTGTAAAGTTTGAGTGGGGACGCACAGAAGTTACCATCCACGGAGAGCTCAGTCACCCAATTCATTCTGTTAATTCTATCCCAGTCACCGACGAGTTAGACGGAGCCACTTTTCACACTTTGGAAATCATGCAAGCTATAAGGGTCAATGAGGAAACAGAGCCCGAAGATACCAAATTGTCAAGTGCAGCAAAAATGGCTGCGTCAGAAATGTTGAAGTATGGATATCAGCCTAAAAATGGACTTGGACCTAAGTCCAATGGTATAGTTGAGCCAATCCAGCTAAAGCACCAGAGAGGCACCAACGGACTCGGATATGAGCCTGCCTCGGGAAGGGACCATCACGGGTCAAGCAATACAATCTTTATACCAGAACAAGCTTTGATACCAGATCAAGCCGATGTTGATGACATCATGGAAGGAATAGGCAATCTGTTCGTGGCCATGGCTGGAGAAGAAGAAGGGATAAATCTCAACAAGTTGACCATTCGTGATGCTAAACCTGGAGAAATCTTGCAGAATTGGACCACCAGCCCGTCCCTGTTTCAACCAGAGTCCTGGTAGTGTGGAAAAGTAGTCTTAATTTTAAAATTCGCATGATCAAATTGAGGCTTGAATCATGCCTAATATTTTGTTGCTTGCCTCTTCTAAAAAGCTAGAATGCTTTGAAATAAAAAGTCTTTATTTTCTTTAAAAA